ACCAACATTACTTCTCAAGAGCTTTGAAGAGGTGTAGGTATGCTCAAAAGAAACAAGTTGAATTTTTAGCCCATAGCTCCATATTCTTCATAAGGAACTTACACATGATTGTGCTCTTAAAGTATAGTTTGTTAAGCCCCTTGCCTCTCTAATTCTTATGAGAACTTTGAAGGTGATGGTGTGCCCCAAAGCAACAATTTAAGCAACAATGATTAAATTATCTCTTGTGAGTGTTGAGTATGTACATTTGTAGCTTTCAGACTCTATTATCATAGACTTTTAATCTAATTTTCTAAATAAATTTTAACTAAGAAATGTTATTATTAAGAAGAAAGTTACTCTTGATGAAGTTGGTGCCTTAAAAGGTTAGTTCACGCACTCCTCAAAATACGGATTCAATCCAACCACTCATTTAGAACCTTCAATGGAGTTTGATATTGCTAATATGCTTGGCAAAGTTGGGTAGCCTTCATATAACTAGGGATGCTAAGTAGTATTTGTCAAAGTTGTGAAAATCCGACCTGCCCGTGAACTGGAAAGAAGAGAGATTCAAGGTTCAATGGTTCATTCAGAATTAAATCGGGAGTTTAACCGAATGCTCTAATAAATATTTAAATTACTTTAATATAATTTAAATGATACAATTATATAAATATGTGACAAAAATAAATAAAATTTGAACACAAGCAACATCTTTAATAACTATAAATTTAAAATTTGATTTAAAACTCATCAAGATATAATTGTATATGTATTTTAAATATAAATTAATAAACAAACAAAATTATATATATATATATGTATATATATAAAATAAAAAAAATTATATTAGGAATATTAATTTTATTATTAAAATAATTTATAATAATTAATCAGAATAAAAATTTTATAACATAAAAAAATATTATGCCAGAGCTTAGCCTAATTCTTAGTTTTTGAAGCCCAATTCACATTTCAGCAGTCATAAACTTCTAGTCTCATAACATAACATAAAAGAAGCTTTGCATTTCATTATGTATATAGAAAAAATATTTATCAAACTTGAACTCATAAATCAATTAATTTTATTAAACTCAAATCAATTATCAGATTTAAGGCTTTTAAATTTATAATCATATTTTTTGACATAATATAATTTATAGGATTAAATCCTCTAGGAGGCATTTTAATCATTCAATTGAAAATCAAAGATATTTTAATTGGTAATTTGGATCTATTGATTCTGTATAAATCGGGATCAATCCATCGGCTCGACCTACACTTAACATTGAATTCATAGTTTTGATGTGAAAATAGTTCTTAAGCCTCCCGAACCAGCCATATGCCCGATTCACGATCGAATCGGTTGAACCTACCAATCCAATTCAGTTTTTAAAGCCTTAGTGTTTGTGTACCTAGTAGAGCTAGCATGATTCCTACATTATGTTTTGGATAGACTTTATAAACCTAATTGAGTTGTCCATCCTCCATATGTTCTATGCAATTGAATAGCTTTCATCTACAAATAAATTTGAATAATCTCCAAATATCTAAGGGTGTTGGGCAATTTTAATAAAACAATTAGATAGTTTATATATCTATATATATGTGTTCCCCGGCTCTATGGTTGACATCTGCAAAGTCAATTCTAAGTCCTTGAGGTCGGCAGTTTGAACCCGCCTATGTGCGAATAAGTTGAGTGTAACATATATCATTCACATTGTCCAATTGGCCTCCATTGATAAGATGGTGGAACAACTTCCTGTGGCAATAACAAATTGGAGAAATCGTCCCGATGAAAAATCAAAGAATACTCGTAAAGATGTTTCTTAAAGTTGTGTACTCAAATCATGATGATTGTTAGTAGCAACTTCGCTGTGACGTTTAGATGATTACTCGCATCCTACATTTTAGACGACATTGTTGTTACTTATGTTGAATACAATCTTAAGCAAATTGCTAATGATATGTTGACTCTTTCTCTAATACTATGCTCAACTATGTTTTTGTTAATTGTTAAATTAAATTTACACTAAATATTTATTAATCTGTTATCTTTTAGAATATTCAATTAATATTGTTTAATCCTTAACAAAACCTTAGTAAACTTAGGGAAATTTACAAAAATATCATTCAATTCACAAGTATTTGCATACCTAAACTTTAATTTTTATATTTGTTCCATCCAAAACTTTTGCATCCAAAACTATTTTCATATTTTCATATTTTAGGTATAAAAATCAAAGTTTGAGTGTGAGATATGTAAATGTAGGGGTGTAAACGAGCCGAACACAAGCGAGCCCAAGTTTAGCTCGTGTTCTGCTCGTTTATATTTCGTGCTCAAAAAGTGTGTTCGTGTTTGACTCGTTTGCTTAGCGAGCCAAACACAAGTAGTTCATGAACAAAGAGTCGTTTTGACAACCCTATTCACGTAGTCATAAGATGTTAAGAATTGAGGCAAGATTTAAAAATTATTATTTATATTAAAACATTATTTGAATCAATTTTAATAATTTTTATTAGATTTTCTTAATTAATACTTTTAATTGATTATAATTTTTTATAGCCTTGTAGTCAGTTTAATTTTTTAAAAATACTATTCATCAATATGTAGATATATAATTGATGAGTAGTATTTTAAGTCTAAACGAGCCAAACACGAATGAACAAATCTTTGTTTGTGTTTGGCTCGTTAACTTAGCGAACGAGCTGAAAATGAACAGTTCGCGAACAACGAGCCGTTTTGACAGTCCCATGTAAATGCATAAACATTAGGTGCTATGTATGTAAATTCCACTTTTATCAAGGTGTTTTAAGATAATTGTGTTCCCATTCGATCGTTCTACAGGCCGTTTTGACAGCCATATGTAAATGGTGCTATGTATGTAAATTCCACTTTTATCAAGGTGTTTTAAGATAATTCTGTGCATTGTACCTGGACGCATTCCGTGCATACAAATGTATCTGCGACCCGAAAGAAAACGTGATCGTGGCTGCATGTTCGGTAGCATGTATTTCTCGGGATCATTATAAAAATGTAATTTTATGCATCGGATATTTTAAATATGAAAAAGATAAAATAAAAGCATATTTTTTAAGGGAAAATTACGAACATACCACACAACTCTTGTGGATTTATATATTTAGTATCTAAAGGAATTTGAGTGATATATATAAAAATATGATAGTTTTGGTGTTATATGTGTAAATATATAAGAATTGTATATTACGTATGAAAATAACCATTTTTTACTTTATTTTTTGGAATTATGAAATTTGAAGCTTAATTATATTTATAGTGTATACACTAGAACTATCGGCACGAATCTCAAAGAGAACGAACGACTGAAAATAAATTGCTTCCCTCAAAGGTAAACAGTTAACCGACAAGTCACTGCCAAACCAGTGAAGCTGCGTCTCTAACCCGAGACAAGTCAAAAGTCTGGAGATGGTCCCTCGCCTGATAATGCCAAGACCTGCCAAGGGCAAGGCGTAATTCATCATAGGAGCAAGTCTCATTGAAACCCCACACATGCAGCGACAAATTTCGCTTAAGAACTTGCAAATAAAGGTATTCAACCGAGGCGATGAGCCGACTAGATAGACAAGATGCAGACCCCATAAGACTTGAGCCAAAGTGACACGTGAGTCACTGTTCATCCAACAAAATAAATCGACTCATCAGTCGAGCAACCGACCGACCGAAAAGCAAGCAGAACCCCCATGATCACGATTAAAAGACCGACCCACTTTTGCCATGACAGACGAGATTGTCATTTGACTGAATGTCTCGGTCGACCTAAAACAAGGAACTATCATCACCCAGTTGAGTCACTCAATCGGTTGAATTCTACCAATGCGATCAACTAATTACTGTCATATCAAAATTTAAATTGTAATACAGATATGAAATTAAATTCATATAATTTATTAAAGCATTGATTCTTTTAAGAACGATTTTCATAAACGTTCCTTTCTTTCTATTATTATACAAAATATGCCCCTATAAAAAAGAGACAAAAAATATGAATAATGGAACTCTCCCCAATTCTCTCCACAATAACTCTTGGTTCACTTTATTTTTCCTTTCACTCAACTCTAACACTCGAGTCTTGAGGCATGCTCAAAAAATAATCCGAGTGTTTTTACTCACTACAATCATGATTCTTTCTACCCAAATTTCTACTCCTATACTAAATTTGGATCAAGTTTTATCAATCCAAGTATCAAAAGGAAAGAGAATTGGGACATGTATTGACATCATGAGCTAAAGAAATTATTTTATAAACCCTCATGCAAGTATTTGACAAAATCAAATTTAACAAGAATCTAACTATAGAGGTTGAGCAACGATTCACTTCGGAGCACACACTAGTAAAAGTGAGATAATCTTTGGGGGTAATGAGATTATCCAATATAAACTTTTCAAGCTGTTTTGGAGACATTTTCCTCATTCCATTAGCAAAGAAAATTTTAAAAAATTTACCCATAAAAGAATGTTTCAAAAACTCTACCTTGGCATCTTTAAAATCACATGTTTAGTTTCTTCGAAAGAAAAGACTTGTCCTTGAATCGCATACCATGATACCGGAGCTAATCAGAATTTGATAGGCAAACTCAACAACAACGCATTAAAATGACGACAACAAAAATAACATAGAAACACAGCAAAACACTAATACTCCACAAGGGTTGGATGGGGCAACTCGGGACAAAAGGAATGGGGATCGGTGGAGGTGGCAGGGGATGGGGGTAGAGGGCGAAGTTGCGGTGGTGGTTGGAAAGGGTAGACGGTGGCGGTGGAAGACGAAGATGGGTTCAAAGATGAGCGGCCCAGCAGACAGCTGGAGAGGAGGGGTGCAGCTCCTACCTAATAGATAGCCGCCCCGTCCAACCTCCTTGCCGGACCGGCACCCCACCTGTTGAACCGGCCAGTTAAACCTAAGCCACTCATCATACCAACTCATGAAATTTTGAAAATTATAAAAAAAAAGACAAATTGGAAAGATTTACATTGCCTTCAAGTGTCCATATAAATTTTGCTTGATAGCAATAAGCAGATAACCACAAGGGCCTTTACTAAGCACATTAAGTGTTAAAAGCTTCAGTTTTAACTTCAGTGGAAAGCTCCTCTTAACATAAACAAATCTCTTCATCAAGATTTTTAGGATGTTTACCATTGAAGATAACAAATAACATTGATTTGCACCATTTATAATCATAAATGGTATAATATTTACACATTAAACTGAATGCCATAGCAGCTGTGGCAAAAACTTATTATTAACAAACAATGCTTCCCCAAAGCAGCTTTGGCACAACCTTATTCTGTACTAAGTGCACTGGGAAACAGTTGAGAGACTTACAAAATCATAAGAGCTCTTCAGTATTGTTTTCTGGCTTTCTCTGGTGGTGTTCAGTAAATCAAATAGAATCAGATGCTTATTTTAGCACAAAAATCAGAGCCTGCAAACTCTCTGGTGAAGTCATCTATGCAAGACATCCTTATCCTCTCCGGTGTTGCGGGATTATCGAGCGGGAACCAATCGTGGCAACCTTCTTCCGCCCGTGCGGCGATGATCGCATCTTTGATAGCAAAGAGCACAACTGAGGCTAAAAAAAATGGTGGTTCGCCGACAGCCTTCGATGAGTGAATAGCCTTCGGATTTGCAACCCCCTGTGTGAGAAGAATAGTCGTTGTAAATGAGATGATTTCGAAATGTTTTGACTCGCGAACTTTTTGGAAAAGAATATTGGTGGTGGTGAATCGCGAAGGATAAGCTGAAACGAACCTTGAGGAGGGAGACATGGAAATTAAGAGGAATATCATTCAGAGATGGAATTTTGTAAGTCCCTGGTCCACAGGTGAAGAGGTTTCCAGTTCGAATCCACTTGTGATCTGAATCGCCCCATTTCAGCTCTTCCAAGGCAGCCCAACCCAAACCTTGAACAAAAGCTCCCTCAATCTGCAAAATAAAAGCATATTTCATGACTTTAGATATATCTACATTATTAAAGTTGAATTATCTTTTTAGAACACATATTACGCTAACAGAAAGTCGTTTTTATACAACAATATGCTGACTCGGAGACCCCAATGATTTAAGTTTTAAAGTTAGATTATTCAAGAAGAAACAAATCTAAACTGAAATATCAGAAATAATACTTAAAACTCAAATAGAAAAAGAGCACAACTTCCAAGTATTTGATTGCCGAGGCCTGTGAACTTTCATGCCAAATCAAGTTGTGGAGATGATTAACAATATTGCAGATTCAGAATAATGGATTGAAGAAGAAACTATTATTTGATGCATTAAAGAAATGCATTTAACGTGTATTAACAGGTTCTTAACTTCTGTACATAAACATTAAAGAACAATTAGATATTTTAACAACTAAAGAACAATAAAGAATCTGAATCAATGAAGCTTTCATAGATTTAACCAAAAACAACAGAAAGCAGAACCTAACAACAATCAGAGTGAAGAGACAAAATTTTACTAGAGCCAAGAATGTGTAAGATTGTATCATACAGATGGCAAATTATTAAGCAAACTTAGTGTCAAAGGCGGGAGAAAAATTGGCTGAATTTGAATAAGCTCGATCGTCTTTTCCCTTTGCTTTCATTCCATTAAATAACAATCTTACAGTCTATTTTAGGTACAAAATAAAGTGCATATAATCTATTTTAGGTAGCTTAGTAATACATGTTCCTAATCTAAATATTCAGCTAAAAGGGAAATATATCAGAATAAAGATATTGGAAATAATTATAGAAAACTCTTAATTTAGCTGCATGATTTCCATTCTTCCAGATTGACACTTAGTTGGTAAGGATATTATGGCAATGATGGAACCAAAAATTGAAAAAATTATTGCATACGGCGACTGTTTGCAGAGTTGCATATGGTCGCCTAATTAAAATCACCGTCACCCCAAAAAAGTGTCTGACAGTGGGCCCAATTTTAAACTTTTAAAAATTTTTAAAATTGATGTTAATTATGTGGCGTGAAATAAATGGAGGTCGTACCTACGGCCTCCGTACGTAATAAGCGCTCTAAAACTTGAGGACGTAGAAAAATTAAAAATCAAGATAGATTAGTCTAAGACTTTCATCTCCTTAATTTTTTTTAAAACTATTATAAGTATTGAATCAAAAAATATATTTTATATTAAATTATTATTAAATATTGAAGTTTATAGAGCAATTTTTTTAGTATATTTATGAGATTAAAGAGTTTAATGAGAATTTAAGGGGAACGAATGTCTCCCCATACCACACTCTGGCTGCACCACTGGAAATTGGAAGCACGTGTCAAGATGATGATGGGTCAAAGTGTGCCATAGCACCCAACACTCCAATACAATAAGACAATAAAAAATAACAAAATTCGAAAAGAGGTTTAAATACTTCAAATCTTCAAGAACTTTAACAAGAAAAATTCACCCCAACTCAATATTCAAGAACTTTGACAAGAAAAATTCATCCAAACTCAATATCTAAAGCTTCTATTAGAAGTTAGTAAAGCTGATCTCTGCAATTTCCAACCAAGAAGAAAAGTATGAAGAAAACTATCCTAAAAATAATTCAAAAACTTATCTCCTAACATAAAACCTAACAAAATACTTCAGATTATGAAATTTAACTTAATATAGCTCAAATCCAGTAAGAAGTAAAAAGGAAGAGAGTCTACAATACCTGTCCTATGTCAATAGCTGGATTAAGAGAGTGTCCAAGATCCATAACAATGTTGGCTGTCTTCGTATAGAAATCTCCGGTCAATGTGTCTATCTCAACTTCAGCAAAAGCTGCTCCATAAGTATGGTAGGAAAATGGAATCCCTTTGCCAACTTTCCAGTCAAAGCCGATATCCGGGGTGATGTAAAAACCATGTGCAGAGAGGTCCACACGTTCCAAATGGCACGCCAATGCTAACTATTAACCGAGAAAAGGCAATTTTTAGTAAAACTGTTAACTAATATCTATGTAGAGTTGACGGTTAGTTTTTATTAAGGGCTCATTTGTTTGCTTCCAAATAGAAAAAAAACATGTTGTATAAAGCAGTGTTTTTATTTTCATTTGTTTAAAGCGTGAAAATAAAATCATCACTTTCAAGAGATTCTGAAGAAGGTTTGTGGAGCTTGAAAGCAATGCTAATAAACTTGAATGTTCTTCAGAACATGATAATATAAAAAGGCCTAGTAGATAACCATGTAAGAAGCTTCAAGGCTTGCTTTGGGATTTTTACAAACTGAGGATTATATATGCGTTCATGGTTCTTTTTATTTTTTATAAATTCATGTTAAATATTGACATAATGTGAACCCATAATTATATGAATAAAATTTGGGGCAATTACAAACATAGCAGATTAAGTTAGAGAATAAAGAGAAAGAATAATTCAAGTTAGTTAATATGAATGACATATACGTAATAACAAATATGAAAAAGTACAAAACTAGAGGATGCGGCCTTTAAAGATTAATCAACTGATAAAGTCTTCTTAGGTAAGATGGATAATCTCATTTCTAGATTAAATTTCCTTTCTTCTAAACTTGATGGATACATTGTATATGTTTATATATAAACATAAGACAAATATTATTGCTACAAGATTGCATCTCAATTAATTTACGATGATTTATCTCTCTCACGGAAAACGATCATTCATATTGCTCTGAATGAAGTGTATGTATCCAAATCATATTGAAAGATGGAGTCACATTTTTATAGCACTAGCTAAAGATGCTAATGTACCCAAGCATTAATGATTTTTAACCTTTACACCTTAGATTATAGTCGATGTATGAGTTGTGCCTCGTTGTGCAGACAATGAATGTTTTGGCTAAGTGTGAGTTAGGTGTCCTTTCACCTCAAATGATAGTAGATTTATAAGCTATGTTGTGTCTTTTCACCTCAAATGAAAGTAGCCTTTGCGTGGAACATGGCCCCAACTCGAAGTAAACTTGATCCCGGGTCCATAAAATGTGTTTTTCTCAGATACTTTGCCACTAAAAAGGGGTTTCGATGTCTTGACCCTATCACAAATAAGGCCCTTTTTAAAAAAGTTCCTTACTTTCCTAGCTCGGTCTCCAGTGAGGCCGAGCTAGAGTTCTTGGACAATATTCCTTACACTACTCCTATAGATGTTCCCCCCATGCCACCTACTATAAAGAAACCCTCTGTTCCTTTAGTTCCAACCACTTCTCCTACCACCAAGGAACCCTCAGTCCCTTTGGTTTCATCAGCACATCCTCCCACTCTCCATGTCTACAGTCGACACCCTCATACTGATGCACCTACTATGGAGGTCTCTAACCTCTTACTAGACCCTGAATCCCTTCCGAACGACATCCCCAACATTGCTCCTACTCCAAATGAAGTCCCATGACAAACTATGTCTCTTTTTGTAGATTACCACTAACCTACAAAGCATTTGCTACGACCCTAACCAATCATCAACTTCCATCTATTATTGAGACTACCTTAGCAGACCTAGCCTGAAGAGCTACCCACATAAAGGAGATGAATGTTCTTCAGTGAAACCATATTTAGGACATTATTGATCTTCCTTGGGGCAAGAAAGTTGTTGGATGCAAATTGATTTTTAGCATCAATTTTAAATCTAATGAATCCTTTGAACGCAATAAGGCGCAGTTGGTCCCCAAAGCGTACTCACAAGGAGTTGACTATGAGGAGACATTTGCTCCAGTTGTTAAATTAAACACTATTTGAACCATCTTATCCCTTGCAGTGAATCTAGATTGACCCTTATTCCAGCTAGATTTTAAGAATGTGTTCCTGCATGGCGATCTTACAAAGGAGGTATAAATGGCTCTTCCTCCAGGCTTAAACTCCACTGCCTCCTAGGGGCAAGTAGGTAGACTGCAAAAATCCCTCTATGGATTGAAGCAATCACCATGAGCATGGTTCTGGAAATTCACAAGGTGATGGTAGGCCATAGATTCACTTAAGCTCAATCGAACCACACTCTCTTCTTCCAGCATTCCTCTAGCGGCCAGGTAGATATCCTTATTGTCTATGTTGACGATATTATTTCTACAGATAATGATCTACCAGCATTGGAGTCTCTGAAAGGCGTGTCTTGATGTTTTCTTAGAAATGAAGGACTTGGGAGCTCTCTGGTACTTCTTAGGCATGGAAGTTACTCGATCATCTCAGGGTAATTACCTGTCTTAGCGGAAATATGTGATTAATCTTTTGATAGATAACAATCTTCTCTTGTGCAAAGCAGTGGCTATCCCGATGGATCCCAATGAAAAATCCTTGATGTTCCCAATGCAGTTCCTGTAAACAAGCATGCATCACTACCAGCACCTTGTGAGAAAACTCATATATTTTGCTTATACATGCCCCAACATATGTCAGGCAGTTAGGATAGTCAATCAATTCATGCATGACCCTATGAGCACCACCTCCAAGTTGTCCATCGGATTCTGCACTAGTTGAAAGGGACACCGGGCTCAGGTTTATTTTTTTTTTCCGCCACACCTCTCATTCTATTTTAGTTTACACAGAGGCGGATTGGGCCGAGTTCGTCCATGATAGGTGATCTACATTGGGGTACTGCTCATTTGTGTGGGGAAACCTGATGACATGGAAAAGTAAGAAGCAGCCTTTAGATGCTCGGGGCCGTGTTAAAACCAAATTTCAATCCATGTCCCTGGGAATTTGTGAAGCTCTCTGTTTACGCATCATGCTTCACGAACTACGTATGACAGTCTTTGCTCCCTATAGTTTTGTGATAACAAGGCTGCCATAAGCATTACTCACAACCATGTCCAGCATGATCGCACCAAGCATAATAAGATTGACCATCACTTCATCAAGGAAAAGCACGAGTCCAGGAAATTTGGGTTTCGTTGTGTCATCAAGTGGTTAGCTGACAGATATTCCACAAAAAGTCTTCCTTGGTCATTGTTAGATGAGTTCAAATCCATGTTGAACATGACTAACATTTATGCTTAAACTTGAGGGGGAGTATTAGAATATTAATTAATACAGAATTATGTATTAACTACTTTTATTTTCTTTTATTTACTTTCCTTTATTCTTTTATTATGTTTTTATTTGTTTCCTTATTAGTATATCCTGAAATGGGTATTTATACCCCTCTCTGCATCAATAAGAAATATTTTGGGTTCTATTCTAAACAAATTGTTTGAAGATATACATAGACACCATCATAAATAAGAAATTTTGGTTTAATTGCATTTTTGTGATATTGAAAGTCATATGAAAATAAAAAATTTGGTTTCAGATTGTTATATTAGTTTAGAATGTATATTAAGCTCAAACTCCATCTGACTATCAATTCCCACTCAAACATGCCAAGCTTCCCGATCAAATCAAGACAGCTAAATCAATAAGAGTCATATATATGCATGTGTTATTCCCTAATAAACAATTTTACCTTTTTTTTTAGGAAAAAATATCATAGATCATTGCTGAATGTAGTTTGATGCAGCCAATTAAAAGAGTGTATATAACATAGATCACTTGGTTTCCATAGAAATTTCTGAGCATATTGTAACATCTACAGAGAATAGTTTGCAGATACTTGAATTTCCATGATCATTTGGCTCACCAAAAAATTCAAAGAAAAAGTAGTGAAGGAATGGTTTGAGGGAGAAGGGAGTTCAGGACAAGGCCAAGTGTAGTAGGGCAAAGGCAATGGTGACTTGTTCGCATTGGATTCATATGAAAAAAAGGAAAGAAAACCCTAAAAAGTAAATGCACCACCTGAGAGAAGGATGAATGCTGGTTTCTGTCTGCAATGGGCTTCATTCTTTCCTTAATTTGCTCGCACGCATCTAAAACTGCTGCACCATACATATCTGAACTCGCAGAAGCAGCAGTAGGTGACGAATTTGGTACCTGCGTCAATACGAAGTATACATGAAAAGAACATCAGATAAGTTATAATATTATCACAATTAAATTTTATAAAAAAAAAAGTAGTCAGCCTCCATCTGTCAAAGTTCAAAGTGATATGAGGCTGTTTGTTAAATATTTCATAAAACTACCTTGTCTGTGCTTGTCTCTGAAATAAAAACAGAACTAAGAGGAATATTGAAAGACGATGCAGCTATTTGCGCTATTTTTGTGTGTAGCCCTTGTCCCATTTCAACACCTCCGTGTGTCACCAAAACAGAGCCATCAGTATAAACATGAACAAGAGCACCAGCCTGTGCACAAATGGTAAATAAACATAATCATGACAAAAAAAGGCCAGTAAAACAGTAAAGTGATAATGCAATAAAGAAATCCAATACTAATACATGGCAAAGATTGACTCAAATTTTGTAAAAGCATTTAAGTAAAATTTAGAAAAATTTACATGCATACCACACAATTCTTATGTATTTACATATCTAACATCAAATTTTGATATTAACACTTATAACATATTAGTTCAAAAATTTATGCACGAAAAGGTGTATTTCGCTTTAAAAAAAATAGAGACGATGGGATTTTTTATGGGAAATTAAGTATTTTAGTGGTAAGCATGTAAATATGTATGTGTAGGTGTTATATATTTAAAACATAAGAATTGTGTGGAATGCATGTAATTCCCACTACAATTTAATGAATTTGTTTTATAACTTTCTGGGTTCATAAAAAACAATGTGATGTGGCCTATTAAGAACATCTAAGGGGTTCTAACGATCGGCTACAACTAGAACCTGCAGGCAGATATTGTTTAATAATTAAACCTTTGGAGTAGTGTATTTTAAGGAAATAATTTGTCCGAAAGAGCAAGTTATTTTTGTAGGAAGATCCCTTGGAATTTCTTAGGTGTCTATCAAAAGTACTTGGCTATTTAGGTGTTTATCAACAAATAATTAGAAAGCTTGCGTGACGCGGGAGCTTCCCGCATGGGACGCGCTATCCCGCATGCGCGTGATTCCATGATTTCAGCTACAGTACCGAACCACGTAGTGACTGCTTACAGGATTCGCGATTGCAAGAGGCAGACTGAACACGATCCCTATTTTATTTCCTTTATTTCTTTAGAAATTTACCTCCTTTCTTTCCTTTCTAGTTTTTTCCTATATATGTGTTGTATTAGAGTTTCGATTAACAATTTTTGTGTGTTTGTTGTCAGGACATCTGTCGACGTCTCTTTTACCCTTCTAGGGTTGTATCCAAGGGTTCGAGTGGCACTCGGGCTGTATGTCGCTCCTAAGGTGGTGATTATCTTCACTATCCTCTTTCACATCCTCCCAACATCACTCACTACCACCCCTTCCCTGCTACAGCCGCTTAGAACAGTTGTACTGGTTGTTTCTTCCTATAGTTTTCCATCTTCCAGCCGCTATCACCCGGTTTTCTTGCTTGTGCTGCATCCAGAACAGCAAGGCGTTGTTGTCCCTACTTTTTGCAACCTTACCAGGAACCGCTCCTTCCCTTCCAACGTGCTGCCGCCTCTAGAACATGCGCCCTACCTCTTCCCGCTTGCTGCTATCTTCCAGAATCTTTACTATCACCTTCTCCCTTGCTGCCAGCACCACAAACTGGAAACCCCCTGCTGGCTGCTGCACCTGACCGGTCGTGCTCTTGCAGCCGTCACTCCAGGCAGCCCTCCCACACCAACTTCCTCTGTTTGCTTGCAGAACGGTCCATGAGAAACCACTGCCTTTTGTTTACTGTTTGCCAACCAACTTATCCATGAACCCAACATCCTCCAAATCCTTGCCGAACACCACCACCGCCCCCTGGATCCAACTCTACTTGAGTTTGTGTGTTGTGTTGTTACTATTTTTTATTTCCTATTTTAGTTTGTTTGGTTGAAATCCCATATTTGAGGTTCGATAATAATATTCATTTTCTGATAATAATAGAAGATATTTTTTTGAGCAATTATTTCAATTAACTCCACTATCATTTGGTATCATAGCTAATCTAACCCTAATTCTATCCTATGGTCACCTACCCCCTACCTAACCCAAAATTTCTTCTTTCCCACCTAGCATCACACCCATACATCTTATTTTACTTACCCATATCCAAACCCAAATCATATCACCAAGAAGCCAAGCGTCAGACGCCGATCAAGAGTTTAACGTGAAAGAGATACAGCAGTAACTTTGTTGAGTATCACAACAACTTGATGAACTTGAGGAAATGCTCCATAGAGAAGTCACTGTCGACCGTGATAGCGAGATCCGAGGAGAGCAAGAGGAACATTTAAATCCCTTTCATAGGGATAATTTCAATAAAGAGGAGGATCAACCAAAAAAATTCAGGATTCAATATCACAGGAGACTGAGAGATGAATTACCTGTTGGAGGATACAACGACTTAAAAGTGAAAGTAGATATACCATATTTCGAGATAAGAATGAGTCTGAATGACCTCATTGAGTGGTTGTAAACCGCCAAGAGGATCTTTGAATAATTTGAGGTGTCGGCTGACAGAAAGTGAAGCTCGTTGCTATCAAGCTAAAATAAAATGTCTCTTTCTGGTGGGAGAATCTGAAGAGAGAGAGATGGAGAGAAGAACGGGGCAAGATCACTACCTGGGAAAAAATGAAGAGGTATTGCAGCACTGATACCTACCGATTCATTACATATAGGATGTTCATACCCTAGCTTCAAAAGTGGAGAGGCAACATCACCGAATCACCAGCACATTTTACAGACAGAGTTCAACATTAGAATCAAGCAGTTAAACTACACCCAAGAAAGCATCCAAGCTGACCCAGCCCGAAGAGAAACTAACTTGAAGAGAACAGGTGGAGCCATCTATTTTACTGCGCTGGGAGCTATTGAAGAAATGAGCAAATGACACAATAGACACTAAAGAGGAGTATCAACCTCTAACTGATGCGGGAGAGATGCATATAATTTAACTTGAGCCTTGAGAGACACTCCAACATGATTAAAAGTAGTTATTCTAAAAAAAAGTGAGTCCAAGAAGTCGATACCTAAAAAGGGACAAAACTGTTAACGAAATTTTCTGATATCCTAATCGAAGGTTCACTTATTGGGTGGTTATCACTGAAAATGACCCAACATGTCAAAAATGAGAAGCTTTTAAGCTACTTCTGGAAGGCTATATCGAGTTATTCGTATATTAAATTCAGTTCAACAGTGTACCCATCGGCAGATGGCCAAACATGAGAGGATAACTACAACATTGAAAATTATCTTAGGAGTTTGGTAAGAAAGAAAATTCTATAATGGGATCCAAATTTTACTAGATAAGAAGATGTTTCTCTTGAGTGGTTGCTAGTAAGAGTTGCCTAAGCTGTCATAGATTTCATCCCAGAGTTGATTCTTCCTCGCATACATGTTTATCAGATATGCAATAGAACACAAGAAGTAGGAGAAGCTATTTATAGATGGAATGGTCTGAGACTTGATTCGTGAGAATACTCGTCTAGCTACATACCAGCTCAGGTTATATCAAAAAAGAATGGCTACTTATTCAATCAAGATGTGCTTTGTAATAACAATGGCTACAGGATTGACCTATCAAGAAGTTATAGTAGTTTCACCACCATATTATGACAACACAAAAGCTCCACAGATGAGATAGAGCTCCCCCCATCTAGGGAGACTGCGCGACAGCTTTCCACACGGGACGCACTATCCTGCATGTGCATGATTTCACTATTTCAACTATAGTATCAGACCACAAAGCGGTTGCTTGCGAGATCCGCGATCACGAGAGGTGAATCGAACGTGATCCCTATTTTATTTTCCTTTTATTTACTTTCCTTTAATTCTTTAATAAATTCCATCATTTCTTTTCATTCATTTCTAGTCATAACTCCATTCGGGATTCCAGCTATCATGATAAAAACTTAGAAGGGAACCAGCTACTAGATGGTTCAATCAGTCTTTCGCCCCTATACCCGAGTAAGGCAAAAAATTTTTACGGCAGTATCATTGTGGGCCACTAGCAGAGTTTGCTTTGGCTTCGCCTTGCTCAGGCACAATTCACCATCTTTTAGGTCCCGACACGCATGCTCCCACTCGAACCATTCACAGAAGGTTCGGGTCAGTCACCAGAGCACACATAAAAGAGGATCCTGCCCATCAGCGTCTTAGTGCCCATTGCACTTCGACACCCATCAGCTCGCACGCATGTCAAGCTCCTTTGTCCATATTTTGAAGTGGGTTGAATGAGAAGCTCACGGGTCGTTGCGACGAGCACGCTAGAGCCTCGTGGGGCTCACCTGATCGGCACATTCTGTGTTGACCGCACCGACAGTGCTCGCCTTGGCTCTTGTTGCCTATGAGACTTACGACGATCAACGCCTCGAGCCGAGCAGCGAACAAACCACAGCCATTCCGCTTCGGGCATAAGCGCACAGCCAACCCCCATCTGCTTACCTCCTGACAATATTGAGCACTCGTTGACTCTTTTCAATGTCTTTCATCTTTCCCTTTGATACATGTTCGTTATCGGTCTCTTGCCCATATTTAACCTTGGACGGAATTTATCGCCCGATTAGGACTGCATTCTCAAACAACCCGACCCGTTGACAGTGCCTCGTGTTCCTATCTATTTGTTGTATTAGAGTTTGGATTAGCAGTTTTAGAGTGTTTGATGTCGAGACAGTCATCAACATCTCTTCTTCCCTCTTAGAGTTGTATCCAAGGGTTCGGATGATGCTCTAGCTATGTCTCATTCCCAATGTGATGACTATCTTCCATATCCCAATCCACATCCTACCCACATCGCTCACGGCCCCCCTTGCCTGATGTAGCAACCCAGAACATTTGTCCTTGTTGTTTCTTCTTGCAGTTTTCTATCTTCCAACCGTCGTCAGCCATTTTTCTGCTTGTTACCACCACATAGAACAACAAGGAGTTGTTGTCCCTGCCTTTTTCTACCTTCCCAACCACCGTTCCTCCCCTTCCAACGCGTTGATGCCTCCAAAACCTATGCCCTACTCCTTCCCACTTACTACCATCTTCCAGAATCTTCCTCGCTACCCTTCCCACTTGTTGTCATCTTCCATTACCTTCACTATCACCTTCTCCCTTGTTGTCAGCACCCTAAACTGGACGCGCCTTGTTGGCTGCTGCTCCAGACCATTTGTATTATCGTCGTCATCACTCTGGACAGCCCTCCCGCATCAACCCTCGTTATTTTCTCACTGCTCAGACCATCAGAATCCACTTCCTTTATGTATTTTACTCGCTAACCACCCCATACATTAACCCACCATCCT